ATTATAAGAAGTAGGTCAATGACTTGAAAAAAAAAGAAAAAGATACTGAAATAGCATTCAATAAAGATTATAAAATTATGTATTATAAAGTGTTTGAAAAGAAGATAGTGAAGTGTGTATTTGAAAAAAAGGAGTTGTGAAAAATAAGCAAAGATGTATAGTGATTAGTATTGGAATCCAGGATGCGCGTTTCGTCTTATTTGGGACTCATCAGATAGATGTACCTGTACCTTATAGTTAATGTTCACTCTCGAACTTGAGTCCAGTACCGTTTGCTTCAAATATCATCGCGTTATACACTTGGCTACTAAGTCCTGTTAGCTACATGATTGTGCAATGGGGTGAAGTATAAATTCACTTGGTGTTGTTTAACATGTAACTTCCCATTGTTATTTAGGATTGCAATTGATCAGTCTCATGTTGGTTATATCGAAGCAACCCGCACAGGATGCACATATGCCAACATGAGACTGATCAAGTGCGGTCCTAAATAACAATGGGAAGATACAAGTAAAACAATACCAAGTGAATATATATAGTTGGTTCATTCATAAATAGAAATTGTAAATAGTCAAATTGTATTCTGTACTTCATCATACAGTTTTCATAAATTATTTATGTCCTATTTTGAATATCAAAATGTTTTAACTAGGTTGAAATCTGCTAAGCAAAGAAACTCTAAACCATAATCATTAATTTGCCTATCAGTGTATTATTCACAAGATAAATGAATTACATTAACTAACCATTTATTTTTTATAAACAGAAGTCCCATACTAGAATGAAATGGCCTTCCAGTGCTTCTAAGTTTTCCATGGTGGTCTAGCTTCAAATGACTCACGTATTCAACTATAAAACTACTAAATTTTCCACAAAACCCCCCTTTGATAAGAATTAAATCAATCAATTTGCACACAAAATTTGATTACGTAATTACTACTTATTCCCAATTAAATTTAAAAAGTATGTTTGCTATTAATCCGATGATAAATAATTAAATTATTACCGATTTAGGTTTCACTCACAGATCATGTTCCATATGGAAGCCTGAATCTCACTTTTAAACTATTTTCTCCTGATATAAAATATAAACTCAACATTCTATGTGTTATTGAAGAATAAAGAAAGTAATGGAGCCGCATCCCTACAATTGAAGAACATATGGAATTCAAAAAATCTGTCTGTCAAAAAATATCAAAGTCAGGATCTTCAATACGAAAGTCAAGACAGTTCTATTGTACAGAGCTAAAACTTGAAGAACTATTGCAACCAACATCAAGAAGGTACAAGTATTTATAAATATCTGTCTACGCAAGATACTCAATATCCATTGGTCGAATATCATCAGCAACAGCCTTCTGTGGGAGAGGACAAATCAACTTCCAGCTAAAGGGGAAATTATGAAACGACGCTGAAAGTGGATAGGACGTACATTGACGAAATCACCAGACTGCATCACGAGTAAAGTCCTAACTTGGTATCCTGAATGGAAGTGGAAAAAGGTAAGGCGAAAGAACACACTGTGTCGAGAAATGGAAGCAAATATGAAAAGGATGAATAACAACTGGAAAGAGCTGGAATGGATTGCCCAGGACAGGGTCGGATGGAGAATGCTGGTGAGCGGCCTACGCTCCTTCATGAGGAGTAACAGCCGTAAGTGGAAAGTAATAATCCAAAAATAAATGTCCCTTATTACAAACATTCTTCATCTTTAAACGTTTAATTTCAGTCTTACATCGCAACAATTGCTTACCTTTTCAATCCTCTGTTGGTAGAAATTTAAATGTTAGTAGTGTAAATGAACTTGGAAAATGTATAGATTTTTCATTGAGTCAGTGAATAGAAAGTGTATCCCTATTAATCATATTGACAATCTCAAAAAAACACCCATTTCTAATAATAAATTTGAGAAAAACTATATTCTTTTACAGTTACTAAACATGAAACATTTTGAACAGTCACAAACTACTATCGGTCACGAGTAATCACTATTCAAGAACTAAGTAAATAAATCAACAGATAATTATTTGAGTGTATGGAGGTTTGATTTTCAACCTTTTGAAAGCGGATAACAGTTGAATTTTCAATCAGTTGAAAATTTTATTCAACTATCAATCAGTATGATAATCGACGAAGCCTATTGCATAATGTTTAATTCAATAATGTTTGCTTACTAATAAAGATATTTAAGTAGTTTAAAATTTTAACGAAATAAATACCACTATCAAGGTTTGATTTGATAATTTTAACAAAATGTTTATTTGGAAGGATTAGATATATAATTTCTTTTATATATGTTACTAGAATCCAAATCTGTTCTAAACCTCAGATGATATTGTCATACTGGTCTAACCCATAGTGCTAGGCAGTTTTTATTGACCAAATAGAAACGTGACAATTACATTAAGTTACTCAATATCGTGTGACCTATGTTTTCATGTTAACTGGTTGATCGTAGTTATCAGAAATCCCATAACCTACTCTTCGTACTAATTGACGCGCATCCACGACCACTGCTGAGGAGTCCCATACCAGGACAAAATGGCCGTTCAGTGCTTCCAGGTTTTCCATGGTGGTCTAGCTTCAACTAACTCATGATCTCAATCACTGAAATAATGTTCAGCTTAAAAATCGTAGGATTTGAATATGTTAAAGGTGTCTAACTCAATTAAATAGAATCAATCATTAAAAATTGATTTACAATGTACAGTGAAGAAGACAAAAATTTAATTCAGTCACTGAAACATTTTAGCTTAAAATTAGAATATTCCAGCGACAAATCCAAAAACCCGTATAAAAATCACAAATGACTTTCTTGTAATAAGTGTGATGTAAAGGTTAGACACATAAATCAATTACAATGTGTATCGCATTGCTAATTAACGGTTATCTTCATGTACATTACATAATCTACCTGGAATGCAGATGCTAGCAGAATTGACTCAGTTAATCATAACTAAACCAGATCCTTTTTGACGATGAGCACCATAGTTCAGAAGATCAGAAGACTTTAGTTTGGCCAGGAATTTGTATTAATTAAATTACAATAATAAATAAACTGATCACCCGTACAATAAATAATGAAATATTGGAACCAATGTAAATTTACTAACAATTTCAATTATTATTTTATAAAACATTAACCTAACAATCACGACTACAAGATTATCTGAGATATAACTTGACCTATCTCTGAACAAAGCATTCATTGAAGATAAATTGAGAGATAATTTAACTAATTACTGGACATTTTCAAGGATGAGTATCAAATGAATCTCTCATTGAATAACTCAACATCCATGTAAGTACGTAAATTGGTTCATACAGAAAATCATAACACTATTATTCTAAATATCTGACAACCGTTATCAACACAATCTGACAGACTGACGTCTGGATGGATAAGGATATATTTAAAACATGACGTAATATAGATGGAAATTATAAGCAACAGTATGAGTTGATAACCAAGTGTTAATTGGTTTACTCAACTTTGAACTATACATCCTTATAACTGAAGTATTCACAAGTAACTGCTTTTGTTCATTACATAACTTTTGCTTTATATTTCATTGCTTAATCGTATACTAACTGTTCTCTTATTGGTTGATACACTTCTAATCTGTCCAGTTATGATGAATTAGTTATTTTAATGCTTACCGGTGCTGAGAACTAACTGCCGTTTTCCAGTTCGTTAACTCAAATGCGACTTATTAACCTAGGTTAATCAATATTTATTGTAAAACCATCTATTATATATGTTGATATTCATACATCAATCAAAAGTAAGATAGTTTTCTGGATTTAGTCAATCACGAGTGTTTTACTCCAGAGAAACTAAGATAATAACAAAGATGGATAGTGGCTAGTAGTGGAATCCAGGACATCAATGGGAAGATTCAAATAAAACAATATCAAGTGAATTAAGATAATAACAATACTTGTCTCAACAGAAGTGATTAACATAATGAACAATTCGATCTAGTCAGTCCTCTAAGTCAAAACCGACGTAGAACCTGATGTATATTGGTTGCCACACTACATGAGCATAATGACAGAATGCTAACGAGACGAGTACCAGTGTGCAAGAAAAACTATTATTATTAATGGTAGTAGCACATATTACAGATAAAAAATGCGATTCAAGAAGAGTGAATTCGCAAAAGAGAAAAAACAGGACAATCTTAGAACTCTGAATACAAGGGAAGAGAAAGAATGAATGCATTTGTACCATAACTGTTATACCCTAGTGAAGATTAAATTACAGGTGACTTCTGAGAACTATTAGTGGGCTAATATTATCTATATATTCTTATGGTATAACTATTCAGTAACTAGATTGTATATATCTATATTCCCCTTATTATAAGCTTCATTTTAACCTATAATTTATTATTATACGATTTACTGTTCTTAAATTATACTCGGTTTATTAATTACTGTCTTCCACGTTCACAGACACATTTTAGCTTTATTTTGTATAAATTTTATTTCCTATTTTATGCTGCGATGTGGTCTGTTTGGTTGGTATATAAACCAAGTATGTCTGAAATAAGTGATTTGCATAGTGGAAGCTGTTATTGGTGTTCTGGACTCAACTAGACGGGCTAGGCGGGCAAAGAATCAATAAGGACACTAGACTGATCAGACCGGTTAAACGTCATTGGTTTAGTACAGTACAAGAGTGAATAAGTCGTATTTCGATCGGCAAATAAATTACATGATAACTAACCGGACTTAAAGTCACAACAATAACCATCAATTCTAACCCATGCATTCTATCGTCTCCAACCATTTATCGTAATTATCACACCAACACGGATCAAGCAATTTACATCAATCAAAAAGACACAGTTCAATAGTCATTGACTTTATGGATTGATGTCATATCTTCGTTTGATTGTCCCGCTCTAACCTTTACAATACATATATACAAACATTCTTTTTTACTCTCTTTCTCTAAAATTCTATCATTATTACCAAGTGAAAAGAGTTGAAATAAATAATCATATCTCTCTTCATAGTTACAACAGACATATTATTACTAATCATCATTTCATTTATTTTAAACAAGAATGTATCATTATGATCATGTATCAAGGCACACATTTTAAAATAGATAACAACAACAACAAAAAAAATGAGATAGATAGAAATAAAGAAATGTAATTATTGTAATAAATTGACATAAACATACGCATAATCAAATATAAGTGTAAAGAATTATATGAAAAGGTTAACAAACCAATATAAACAGTAAATAGTAAACAATGTTTGATTTAACAATGTGATTCAATTCTAATAATCACTTTCAAATACATTCATAGTAAAACGAACTATGAAGTTGGTTATGAGGGGGGGGGAGTGGAAAGGGCAAAAGAAAACAGTTTAAAAGATAAAAGCTAATAAGAAAGAAATTAAAAGTTGTGTATAATACATGACTTGATCATTTAAATACAACTAATGCTTATATTCCATGGCAGTAATAATAATGATAATAATGTATCATTTGTTCAGATGGTAGTTTTCTCACCACCACCACCCCCTCTCTTCATCAATCAAACAATAAACAAACAAACTGATTATTGAGAATTCAATTCATGTCAATTAGTAAACACGTCTATATATGTATATGGCTAACAGTTTACAAAATATGGAATAACGATTTATTTTTTAATTAAAAAATAAACAAACCAATATAAAATTAATTAAATGTCATGCGGGCAACAAAAATTGTAGTCATCACAATTAAAAGAGAATGGTAATTATAATGATGACGATTATTATCCATTACAGAATTAATGGGGAAAATTGTTTTAGAAAACAAAAAAAGAAAACCAGTCGAACTCATCGTCACAAACAGCATGGCTGTACTTAATACGCATAATCAGTATACGGTGTATATCATACAGGAGGGGAGTGTATGTAAGTAGGCCTGTGCTCCTCCATGAGGAATAACAGGTATAAGTATGTTTGTGTGGCGGATAGGTACACATATACACAAGCATATAGATTGATAAATTGTATATTTGTTAACCAACTGTCAGCTGTTTTGGCTCTCTCTCTCTCTCTTAACACATAACACAAATAATACGGATAGACACAAAAAGAAAACTGATTGGGTTATAATAGTAGAAATTGTCTTTTGACATTAATTTTCACAATTTACATTATCGTCAACACTGTTGGTATTATTGACTAAAGTAGAAGATTGTGATTTTAGGAACGAATTATTATCATTATTATCCTCAACGGTATTTTCTATAGGACTAGTAGTCAAATCATTGACAATACTAAGCGACGACAAAGACTGATCATCAATATTACAATGGTTTGTTAGCTCAGATGGTGATGATGATGAATTGACAGTTTCAACTTCGTCGAATCCAGCCGCTGTCACTGTTGTTGTTGATGATGGCAGTAGTTCAGTTTGAATATAAGTTGGATTATTATCATTACTATTATTATTCTGTTTAACTTTAATATAATAACATTGAAACGGTTTACTGCTTGTTGTTATCTTCAATGTATCCATAGCTTCAAAGGCATAGAATTTCACATCAGTATCAGAATCTTCAGCTAAACGAGTTAAACAAGATTTAACTTCATTTTCAATATTTTTCTCTTCTAATTGTGAACCTAAATTGCTAAGTGCTTGAGCAACCTAAAAGTCATAAAATAATAATAATAATAATAATAACAGTGATGATAAGCAATTTGAATCTTATTATTTTATCATTGATTCAATCGTTGCTCTTGGTTATGAGTCACGTTAGACTCAAAGTATGAAGGTTAATAAAATTACCACTTAGTTGTTTAGACTAAACTAAGTGATGAGGGGTTCAAATGTGAGATTCAATGGAACCCACTAACTACTCTGCCACAGCTCCGAAAACCAAATTAAATTGGTTAGTAGTTTACGATAAAGAATGAATATACTTGCATCATTTCGATCGATTTTGGGTCATGTCAAACAATGGTCAACTATCGGTTGGGAAAATTACGCGGACTTCAAGCGGATAGTATGCACGCGCACAAACAGCTCAGTCCAAAAACCGATAATTTGGTGAACTAATGTCATGTCTGGGTTTGATCTCCTTTTAGTTTCCTTTCAACTTACTCTTACATCAAGTATCCCACGTCGAGGTAGGTGGGGGTTGGGTATACATAATGTGTCTCAATCACCCCAGTCGATGAAGGTTAACTCCCTTATCAACTGATTTGTTATCTTCACCAAGTATCCTGCGTCTAATTTCAGCGTTGCCTATATAGTGGTCCTGACATAAGCACTCAATACTTCTAGGGCACCTACGACCAGACACTAATAATCTACGATAATATCTTCTGTTTTTAAAAACCACACTTCACAGCCATTAATACACTTGAACGATATTAATAACAATATTAACTAGTGAACACTTTCGACATCTCCACCTCTACTTAAAAGCTACCAGATGTGAAGACTGCTGAATGAAGACAGGAAACTTTATAATTGCTAACGTTTTAGGTTCGAATACTGACTTCAACAGTTGCCTGCAGTGTGGTTTAAAGCCAAATAATCAGGTTTGTACTTCGTTGAGTTACACAACTTAGTCATATTATTTTTCTACAAATGAAGGAAGCACCTGTAGAAATGAAATTGTAATTAATTGTCTCCGTAGTGTAACAATCTTATACAGAAACGCCTTTAAGTGAAGTGGATTGAATAGGGATATATTTTTATAGAGATTTAAATTCATTACAGGATATTTATAATATCTTGAAAGATGATGAATGAAACTTACTCCCTGAGTGTAAATAAATAATACAGACATTTTAGATGATTGTTGTTTTTGAATAAACATTTTGAGCAGGTTTCTCTGTGCGCAATCCAAACATTTGTCGTTAAGAGGTGATTAGATATGAACAGTTCATTAATCTCAATTCATAGACTAGTCTATCCACAATTGAAGCTAACAGTGTGTCTCATCTAAATCAGGTTGGATTAATCCGAATTATCGCCAACCTATTAAGTATTGATAGTTCAAGTGTAACTGAACATAACATAAAATCACACGCTTTGTTATTATGTTCGATAAGATCTTGTGTGACGGCTGAAAACTGGTTGATTAGTAGTCCAGATTCATTTACATCCTCCTGTTAATTTCGAATTTCAATTCATATATGTATTTCATATGCTTTCTCTGAATTATATTTAATGTCTTTATTAAAGTTGGACAGTGACTAACAGTAGAACTCAGGATCTACATTTCGTTCCATTTTAAAATTATCATCCAGATAAACCTATACATTGGAGTCGATTTTCATGTTGAGACTTGAACATGATACTTTTAGCTCAAAACGCCAATACACTATCCATGAAAACATATAGTCCAAACAATCACCATTTTGTGTAACGAGGAAAAAATTTTATTTTTTAAGTTTACGTATTTCCCCGTTGTTCAGGTTTCAGTGTAAACATAAATACCAGTATGCAGATACATGAAGATAACGGGTTCTAAATAGAGGGGAAAATACGTCCAGAACTCTATTACTACCCACTAACTATCTTTATTAAATAACAATAATGAGCCCATTCGCTTAGAATCTGATCAACTGTAATCATTAAAACTAATAACAAAAAAAAACTACATAGTTTGACAAATATATTCCTTATACCTAATTTTTTTATTATTACATTTATAATACAATTTACTTTGAATCATTTAATTTCTACCTTCTTATTAATTGACTTTCTTCATTTTATATTCACATGTGACGATGATGTTATAACTATGGACTGAAATATACACTTTTTAATGACAAATTTTACAGGTTGATTAGAATTTACTATTTTACATATTATGGTATAATAATTGAATATAGAATTTAAAAAAAATAAAAAAAAAAAATTAAAGAATATCTCATGAACTATACTTATTAAAAATGAATTGAAACATGAATGATTATTGATAATGATAATAAGAATTTACTTACTTTAAAACGAACATTAGGTACATTATCTGTATGCATTGATAAAACAGTAGGTAATAAATATTGACAACAAATTGTTGGACTGACAACTTTACATAAACTTATAATACTTTGTAAACAAATCATACGATGAAGATAATTTTCATCACGTGACAAGTGGATAATCTATAAATTGTTCATTGAAAAATTAAAAGCAAAAATAATGATATAATATATAATATGGATTGTAGTAATCATCGATTAATATATTGTAGAATATTAGACATAATTTTATTTATGATAATAATCATTATTGAGATTATAAAAAACGATCAATGTTAGGTCATCATTGAAAACCTAAAAGTATTGAACTAGCTTCAAGAGCTAATTCTCGGAAATGCTAGTGAGAAGCAATGACCAGTGGAATTCAACCATATCGATTGTGAGGCAGTTACCCACAGAAGACAATATAGGATTGTCGCGCAATTTCGTGGATTGGTTGAGGTTATACACTAAAGCCGTTGGATGCTGTTTCAGTGCTCTCGTGAGTGACCGAAGGTCCTGGGTTCGAATCCCACGTGCAGGATCGTGAATTTGCATTTCTAATCATTGTGTAATGTAGCAGTTTAAAAATCCAACTTAGTTATGAATCACTTGTTAAATAGCTTATCACTGTGCACTAACATTTATTACGGAATAGCGAAATTGGGAAGTAGAAAAAAAGGTATTCGTTTCAGAATAAATACTCGATTGAAGATTGCTTATCCAGCAAAAAGAATCTTCACTTTACACATGAAACGGATAACAAATAAAAATCGATAAGTCCACATTATCCAGTACTTTTGACTTCATTTATCAATTTACGTGTCATGTAATAGACATAAATTAAAAGAACAGAGACACCAGTACATTTTTATATTGCCGAGTACATTCTAAAGAGTTAGAGACTAGATATTGCCACGAAAAAACAGTTCAATATCTCGATATTTAATTGACAGTGGAGATATTACAGAGGCGTATCAACTATTCGAAATCATTAACAGATAAAAAAGCAACATTTTACATTTCTCTGAAGTGGTAGCAAATAAAAAATTCACATTAAATGTAATTACTCAAAAAGAGATAGTTGCTAATTTATCACTGTCATGGTAAATTCATAATTATATATTTATAATTTCACACGAGAGTCTTCTCCAATAATCCGCTAGAGCTAATTGGTTAAGATATGGCCAGTCAGCGTGCTCCAACACAACTCCACACGGAACATGCTTTAACGCAATCCATATTCCGCTAACAGTATTAATAAAGAGAGGAAATTTCGTATTTACGTTTTGTTGCGAATTCTTGCCAACTAGGGAACCTGATACAAACCGAACATTACTGAACAACGGTTTAATTCTAGAATAGCATATATCCACGACCCCACCACAGATAGAATGCAGAACCTCCAGGTCTCTCAGGCAGCGAGTTATCTTCAAACCGTTGAAGTTATAGATGTGAACCAATGAACTCTATCATACAAAAATGACGTGTTTTTCTCTGAAACTTGAAAGTTTAGGTGGGGTGTAGATGCGTTTAGACTATCCTATGATTTCATTGGTTTGCTTTAAATAATAGTTTACCAGTTTGAATCAAGAGACTTTATTCTAAAGTTATCCATACATTTTATTCCACACACTTAATCTTATTCATATTATTATATATAATAAGAACGGAATGAAGAATAATTTTCTGATATTATTAATTTTATTATGAAAACAAACTAGGTGAGCGATATTAGATCACGTAGTAAAGTGAGTGATTCAAATTATCTACTGCTTGGTAAGATAAGCATCAAAATAATTAAGCTTAACTACTCAATTAACTCTTCCGTACATTCACAGATTATGTCATTGAAACAGAAAACTGATCATTTCAGTAATATCTCATTCAGTCAGTCAGTCAGTAACAACGTGGAACTTCGTTAGTACGGACATCAGTTCGAGTTGCCACACCACATTAGCACAGAGATTCAGTTATCGATTAAAAATCCCGTAGTGGTAGAGGTAGTGAAGGTATAAGTAGTGATAGGGAACGTTAGGGTTTGATGATGTTATCTAAGGAGTATAGTCCAGTGGAATAGATACGGAAAGAAAATAAAGGAAATGAAGAATTCAGAAGATTAGAGTTTGAGAGAACACAAAGAGTGGATGCACCTGCGCCATTACTCCTTTAAGAGACAAACACTGCCATAGGACCTCACGATCAACAGAGTCAAATACCGCCTTAAGGTCGAGAAATACGACTATTGTGGGGCGAATATCTCAATTTAAAAATACATAAAAGCGATGAGCGTCGCATAAAATAAAATGTGTGAAGGAGGGGCGAGATATTTTCTGGGCACTCGCTATCAATTCCTGGTCTTGATTAACCGATTATGTTAATCTCACACCATTACATAATGTTAGCTGTTATCCGATCACTTTGATTGTTAACTGTAAAAGTACATGTTCATGTGCTTGCTAAATTGTCGGCTCTCTTTTTTTCATTCTTCCCTACTCGAGATTCTTGCGAACATAATGCTCTAAACACTCCCTATCCCCCAGTACATAGTATACCACTTAGGTTAGATACACAATTATCATAAGTCCAACGTTTCACCTATATTACCAATTATTTTATAGCTATTAATAACTGGTTACATCACTTAATGTTCATTATTGGGTAGAGACGGTTAAAAATTCGTTCTTCGATATCAAATGGAACAGTCAGATAGTAGCATTAGCCCAATGTAAACGTGTGGTCTATAACCGAGTGTATGGTCACGTATTTTGTTACAAATAACAAGTCTAAAGAAATTGTACTGACGTTATGAAGTTAAAATTATGGAAGCTACCTCCGATCAAATGAAAACTAAACAACTGAACAGTATTATTTATCTTCAAATATTGGATATAGCTTATAAAAAGGTATAATATCCATGAGATTCTAACTGATTTATTCTTTTGAATTACGGCTTTTTAATGAGATATTTTAAGAGTAAATAGAGTAAATTGAGTTTCAACTCAAGAAAATAATTTAAATGTATCGTCCCAACTAAGAGACCTAAAGCTTCTGGACTAAATCTCTGATAGTGTTTCAGATGTGCACTTTTGAGGAGTCCAATAACACAATAAAACAGCTGTCCAATTATGTTTATAGTTTATAGAAAAGGTCTGAAACAACCACAGAAAACCAAGAATCACTGGAAAGCCCATTCTCTCTAGTATAGAACTTCTCAACAGTGCGTATCCTCAACCACACCGAGAATCGGGATCAGATCCAGGACACTTATGTTTTGAAACAAGTGTTTAACTTTCAAACAATTGAGTTAGTATTCTATAATCTACTTTATTCAGTTTGTGTTGTTGTAAAACCATTTTCTAAAGTAAATACTGAGTAACTACCTCACACTTAATAAGTCACCGTTTCTTACTAAGAACTCCAAGAATTACCAGTGATCTTTGAGTTTTTTTTCAGTTTATTATCAATATTTCCATATAGCAAACTAAATTCCAATGAAACAATCTTCATCAAAACATTTGTTTTAACTATTTATCTATGATAAGATAATATATTACATAATAAAAGAGTTTAATTATGAAAATATATACCCATATTACTTACTTTTGGTATAAAGTATTGACTAGCCCATTCCGATCCAAATTTTTTACATAAATTTACAAGATTTTCAACAGCTGCTTCTCTAATTGCATAAACTTGATCAATAAGCCATGATAAACATAATTCAATTAATTGATTATTAAAAAATTCTAAACCTAATTGTTCCGCTAATAATGGCATATATTCAATAATAGCTAAACGAACACGCCATTTTGGATCTTCAGCTAATTGTATAATAGCTGGTAATAAATTAATAGTTAAATGATCAATTCCAATAATTGAATTAACTTGTTCTAAATTTGATATTACATTTAATCGAACTTCTGGATTATCATCATTTAATTGAGCAAGAAATATAGGTAATAAATGTTCAATTGTTAAATTTTTACCAATTAATGGAGCTAAACCAAGAATAGCATTAGCTAAAGAAGATTTTACATGAGTATTTGATTCATTTGTAAGACTTTTAATTGCTGGTAGTAATTGTAACATAATTATGTCATCTTTAGATGCTAGACCATTATTATTATTATTATTATCATTAAGATTATTGACTGATTCAAATTTCTCATCAATTTCCATCATTTTGTTATCTAATGTTATTGGTGTAGAAGAATTTTTACAATCTTTTGTATCAGAATTAGTAGTTTTATCAGTAGTATTCATATCAGAATCAATAGGTAAACCTAGTAGACATTTGGCAAATGCTTTTACTTTTCCAGCAGCAAATGCTCGTACTTCAGCTTCTTCATCATGAAGTAGTTTCATGAAGAAAGGCTAGATATTTAGTTATTTGGAATAATTTTTAAAAAAAAAAGGAAACGGAATAAATATGATTGAAAATTTCAGCTTGAAATAAGAGATTGTTTATACGAAAAATTAATAGATATAATTTATAGCAAACTGTTATATTTCTCTCTTATTACAACCCAGCTATTCCTATTGCTTAGTATCCTCGGACACCAATTCACTCGATAAGTCCCCGAATCAGAACACGGTTGAACAGAAAAGAGATTAAATTCCAAATAACAAGGTTAGATGGAAGTAAAAAGCACAATAGGAAAAACGTTAGTATATTTATAGTTTTTACATGAGAAGTTTTCTAGAGGGTTCTCCATGTACCGACTAGCGCTGATTGGATAAGAATCAGCCAATCAGCGTGCGCCAAAGCAATCCTGCATTGAGCATGCTTTAATCCAATCTATATCCCGCTAACACAAACTATACGAAGTACATGTCAACAAAGGACCACTCTATAACAACAACTCATATATTTCAATCTAAAAAGTATGTACTCGACCAATCTTAGAATATTACATTTTTATTCTTAAGTGTTCGGATAAAGGATGAGCACAGAAGTGATTAGACACTTCATATTCTTGGGAATGATTGTATCTTAAACTGGAAATTCAGATGTAACAAACCTGCAGTTGACCTTTTATGGGACCAGAGATTTAAACTAAATTTAATCTATTTTATGGGTTAGAAATATGATGTTTGGAGTATCGAATCACTTTATGATACAATCTTTTCTATCCTTCTATAGATTTATATATTTATCATACAACTATAAATATGAATGTACAACTTAAGTAAATGATTTTTCATGACTATTATTCAGTTATTATTATGACTTTTATGTTTTTCGTTTTTCTTCATATCTGTCAAGCGGACAATTATTTTTTATAATTCTGATACGTAAATTATTTTCATCCTTCTATTTTTTTCCAACTCCCTGATTATTAAGCAACCATATTGGAGATTTGAAGTCTCGAATAACTTTATGGTGCAGTCTACTATTTTTTTTATTTTTATTCTTTAAAATATTTAATGAACTATTTTGTTATCCGATGATAGAATCCAACATACTAAAAGGCCTAGTAATAGCATCCGTAACTCTTTATCATTAGTGAAACGATCTCATTTAAAATCTCTATATGAATTACTTTACCAGTACATTTTCGAGACTCGGATCATTCACCATAATTTGCCCGTGAACTAAGAACTCTCCCAACATTTGTTAGATGTACTGATGTTAACCTGTAGTGTCTGTCATTATGTTAAGCCCAAATACCTTATTCTAACTTTCCGACATCTCAATCTATTCATTCTACTTGAGTCATATTTTGACCTTGTTAATTATTCGCTAATCAATCTTGACTGTCTTTATATGAGCGCGTGGGCATGCGTACACTTCTTATCCCACTGTTCATCACATGTCTGTAATTTATCTTTATGTGCTTATAAATATTCATTAACTCTTTGTTAAGGGGATGTTGGCTTACCAGCCATCTCCACCGCGCGTCATTTTTGCTTCACTTTCCTTTCTTCGCATCGTTTCCTCGTTCGTTTGTCTGATCAATGATTATACAAAATATATGCATTCAGAAGTCCATTCTCGTTATTTGACTTATTTAATTCCGTTATTAACTAACGCAATTCAAGTCAATGATTATATACGAGGATAGGCGATAGCAATCAATCATTACGATCAAATCGGATTCAGATTACGGGCAACTACAAACCTTTCCTGTGAAACTTCCTCAAATATGCTTAAAACTTGAAATACTTCCCATTCGACTTGTGAAATCATAGTAAAATCACGGTATAACCATTATTATTACTGAACCCACTTCCCAACCGTTGCTACTAACTTAACGTGGTGGTCGGACTTGCCTATTGTGTCTATCGGGTTATACTGGCTGGAACGATCACTCCTCAAGGTCCTACCATGCCAGATAAATCAGTTGAAGAACGAAAGGCTAAAAGCAACAAACCCACGGTCCGAGGGTGAAGTTATACTACTGACCGTACAGAGATGTGGCGGCAGTAAAGTGTTTCCCTCAGACAACCAGTATGAGAGCTGTTGCCTTCCCACAAAGGTTAGGGTTAGAAAAAGTCGACTCTAAAAACACACCTCGCCTTATCCCACGGATATCCGTGTCCGGCGGTAAGGTCTCAACATTTATTATTATTTTTATTTTATTTTAACACATAGATATTGGTGCAAGGAGACACCAAATACATATGCGCCACACAGATCTCATTTGATATGTGTGAGGGCTATGATACTGCCCGGGTGCCCAGACCTAGGCAAGTGGTTTTCTTTGGGAGCCACACCCCGAGCCTTCGACCTGAACGTCTGATCCACAAGGCAGTGGAGCATCGTAAGGAGATGCAGTCCCATGGTAGCCGGTGACCAAGAAGTTGGTTCATACGCCATTTGTTCCCTCAGGATACTAAAGCCCATGTGCACCATTGGTTTGGGACCCGTTTAGAGAGCCGGACATTTGCTTTTCGTCCTCTCATTTTCGTAAACACCCCCGCCACGAGAAGGCAGTGAGTAGGACTTCCCTGGCAGAGGCTATATATGCGTGGCCATGTGAGAGCATTTCGAGAGAGAGAGCGGACTTTCCTCACTCTCGGCTGTACCATGGCATTTGGGGGCAAGTTCTCAACAAGTACGGAGCTAACACGAAAATTACTCACAAAAATGTCGTGTAAGACCGATCTCAAGCAGTTGTCCTTTGGGCACTGAGGTCACGCTCTCAGGTCACTAAGACCATCTCTGATCCGATTTCCTTTTCATGTACCTCCAGAAGAACCCTTCCACGGTGTGGGCAACCGGGAAGTAATAACCGCCCTCATACCTCTAACAGCACTCAAGACCACTGAGGATGTTCCGACCATTTTTGTCTCAGAAGGATTGCTGAAATTCAGTGGCAACACCATGTTAGCAATGCAGAGGTTTGGAAATATGTGTTTGGGAACAGTGATGATAATTTAATTAGTGTCATCATCTTGAAACACTTGCTCCAGTTACTCGGACATGAGCTACGAATGTGTTTTCCCTAGCGACTTTTACATTATGCTCTATTCTCTGACGCTCGGACTGACTGGAAAAGGTGGTGGTTGGTTTATGACACGGTCTCGAGGTATGAAAGAAATGTGTACAGGACTGGCTTTTGTTAGTTAAAACCATCTGTTTGGGATCTTAAGGATGATGCAACACAGTGGGTTGAGACGTTATTGGAAATGGCTCAGGATAGAAGCCAAAGGGCATCCTGCCGTAACTTTCTTCTACTTTCTTCATAAAAATGAGTGACCCCTCTAACTGAAAGATTCCTTTCTGGTTATATTTTTCCCAACTGAACTGCTTCACCCATCATTACTATTATTTCACTCTCACATACTAATTCCTATTCATTTTCGTTTTTCTTTTTTATTGTACCGACTTTCTTTTCTCTATCTCTTCACAATCTCATTTCCAATAAATCTATTCTTGTTACACCCCAATGAGTAGAAAAATTGTATTTCTAACGTTTCTTGACTTCATATAAGCCACTTCTTCAGAGTAAATAAATAATATTCTAATAATACAATTTAAACTTGTTAATTTAGTTCGATCATTTAATTAATCCGAAGAGGTGGCTTACATCAAGTCACGAAACGTCAGAAATACAATTTTGCTACTTATTGAGACATAACAAAAATATATTTATCATAAACTCTCTACCCAATGTTCAATTTATTTGAAATTATCAAATCTAGCCTTAGTACTGATACCTATAAACTCATTAATAATCGAATTAGATTATCCAAGTGCAAATGTAACTGGTACAATCTTCGAATATTTAACGAACGTTGTATAAACAATATCGTTTCTATTGTGTGGAGCGCACATATTCTGGTGCCCCCTTGTGTCAATCTTTATCTGTTCAAATAAATAATAAAAGCTAGTACTTGTAAGGCAAAGCTACAATTACAGACCCAACATCTCTGGTTGTGACATAATAAGCTGAATTCCATGGAGGGAAACAGCACTCTGCAGATTGTATAAGGATATTTCTTGAGGAACCTGAAAAGGAAGTTGGATTAATGTTGGTCTTAGCGACCTGGTAGCGTGACCGCAGAGCCCAAGGGACAACTACTTGAGGCCGGTCGCGCATGGCCTTTTGTGGGAGGTTTATGACGTGTTAGCTCCGTTCTTCACAGGGCCTTATCGCTGGAGACGGAGATCCGTGAGGTAAGGTGAGGCGTGACACTTTCAGAGTCGACCTTTTCTAACCCCTTTTTTTCTTGTGAGAAGGCAGCATCGCGGCAGATGCTAGTTGCCTGAGGGAAACATCCTGCTGCTGTCACGCCCCTCTACAGTCAGCAGTACAAATTCGCCCTCAGACTTTAGGTTGCTGCTTTTGGTTTTACCGTTCTCCAATCTACCTACCTGGCATGGTAGAACCTACAGGAACATATGTTCCAGCCAATATAGCTCAGTTGGGTCATCACGATAGGCAAGCCCGACCACCACGTCAAGGTATCAGCTACGGTCGGGATAGATAAGTCTTGTTGAAAGTTAATAATCAGTAAAAGCTTCGAATCTAAGGTCTCATGTTAATTAACTCCAAACATGTGGGAAACCATAAAACTAAGACGAAAGCAGAAACAATCAACAGTTATTATGTCACCAAACTCTACGAATGTATTATAGGACTAAAGTTAAAATCGTAACCAGATTGCTTAGTAAATTAGTTGAGAACGAAAATAACAGTATGTTGATAATTATTGTGTTGTAATCTATTTAAAGTTTTTAAAAAAAAATTAAGGCACTTGAAAACTCCCCAGTGCTAAAAATAGAAATCATTGGTCACACTTCATGAATGATAGGTAACTTTCGCATTGGGAATAGACTACTCGCCAACATGGAATCCCAGATATCAGACCACAGGATTTACGATATAATGCTCCATGCATAAAATCCGAAGATCATGCAATACAATGGGGAATTCAAAATGACAGTCATTAATCACAACGGTTGATGCCTAACCAACTAACTCGATTGTACTTTAACCTTTAATGTATGATAAATGAATGATTTGAGATTTCGCATATCAACTATACTAGTGATCAGATAAGCTAAGAATTTTATCAGAACAGCGTGCTTGAATTAGCATACAAGATGAATACGAAAAAGTCTATTTGATCTAAATGAAAGATTTATGCAATTTGTGTGGGTTAAACTGATGGTGTCAGTAGTTGAAAGATGTAAAAAGTACATGAACACAATGGATCTGTATTTCTGTATTTAATTGGTCAACTTAGAAAATAGAGAGAAATACAGCTTTCACTAGTTAGAAGTGTTCACAATCAACACATTCATCATACTAGCATAAAATTCATTATCTAAGACATGTAAATGTAGTTGTATATGTTGATTGCGTGATATTATGTTTGTATAGATAAAGTGGATAATTTACCTACGCTATCATTTCGATAAAATACACCAACAACTATTACCTTCAGTTTTAATTATCATTTGACCCAAGTTGTAAATTTTTTAAAATTTGAAATGGTAGATAGAACATTAAAAGTATAACCGAAACATCTACCTAACATTGAAAATAGCTGATAACATAGAAGATTACTAACTTACCACCAATCGTTCACGTGAAACTCGTAAACCCATAGCTGTCTGAATTTCCGTAAATTTATCGGCTACAACACATCGAACACGCCAAGATCTATCAGTTGTAGCTTGTTGGATGAGATCAATTAAATAACCCTCAGATTCTTCAGGTCCCAATGCTTGTGCCAATTGAACAATAGATTCAACTGCCATAAGGCGTACAGACTCTTGTTCGTCATCAACTAGTCGAACAAATAAGGGAACAAGTATAGTAATAATATAACTCCTTTCTTTCTCAGGGTCTAGAGTAAAGTCATCAGATTGAAGAGGATTTGCAAGAGTCGATGATTTTTCAGCTACGCTATCATTAGTCAAACGTTCATCAGTAGCAACTCCACAACTAAATTGGCCACTGTTCAAACTAACCACTTCATTTGTTGATAATTTTGATTCAGTGATAGAAGTGGTCATATTATTTGAATTATGCTCAGATATCTGACTTGATTTTTCTCCATCAGCACTAGGTTTCTCGGAAGATTGACCTACTGACATGGCTAGTGCTAATTCACCTAGTCGGGCGGCGACTGCTCTTCTGACCATCGGTGTTTCATCCCTATACAAATTCATAAAAATATGTAATTTAACAGGTATCAATAGTCAGTAAAATCGGAAACAAAATAAATTGAAGTGATATTAAATAGCATGCAATGTAATATATCGTAAAGCTGGCCCAGAATAATATGCACGCGTTTAGGAACCCAAGAAATATAGGTTGATGGATTTAGTGAATATCTCGCTTAGCGTATTTTCCCTAAACATTAACTTGTATACTTTACAGTTTACTGCATGAGAGGAGGGAGTAGCCCCCTAAGAAAACTACCTGCTTCGGTCTGGGCGCCCGGGAAGTGTTTTAGCCCTTACACAAATCGAATGACGAAGTGTGGCGCATATACACTTGGTGCCTCCTTATACCAATGTTCGTGTTTAGATAAATAAACAAATAAATGAGTCTATATGCAGACATTGGGTTGTGTTTATCCTTCTACATAATTTCACGTTTCTGGTCAATTACATCAGTCACTCACAAATACAATGCAGAATGTGAACCTGAAAACAAATAACCAAAAAAATATCGTACAGAAGATACATGGTTTGCAAAAAACGAGAGCTACGATAGTCTGTTTTGCTTATTCGTAGCGGTGGATCAGCGGTTAATGGGTCCGATTTTCAGACATCAAGTCACAAACTCGAACCAAGTCTCACCTACTTTGACTTCGTAAATCAGGTAGTTTTCCTATCGCACACATCTAGTGTTACTTAAGGCCAAGCAAGCAAATTCGTACCTGGTTTGTTAGTTAATAATAATAATAATAAAATTCGTAGTGGTAATATTCAGACACAATTCTACAAGTTAGTAGTTTATTAAAAATACATTATACTTGTAGTGTAAGCGAGAAATATATCCACCAAGCAAGGATGTGTATATTGTGCAGTACCTAACTCTGGATTACTTTATGATCGTGAAACGTGGACTTTGAAAACAGAACACACGTGTAGGTTACAGGTTTTCATCACTAATTTCTTCGAAACATTGCATGAGCTTCGTGGAAATGACAGATTGAACAACGTTGAGTTTACACATAGGTAATGGGAAAAGATGGTAAACGGATGATGAGTTTATAAGTCTTCATCGACTGAGGAGGTTGAGACATGTTTCACGCTTACTTGATCACCGTCTACTTCGACGATAGATGCTCCATGATATAGAAGTAGACTGGAAAGAAGCAAGAGCCACCTAATCCAAAATCTGGCATCAGTTCATCCAGTCACAAAATGTTGGGCTAAGCGATATAGGTAGAAGCAGACGACCTAGCTGGGCATCATACAACAACTGTGGCCAGTGGCTAAAGACTTTGAGTTATACGGATAGAAATCGTCCACGCTGGCGCAGACGTACTCGCTCTTCATCTTGAATTTCAATATTCCCACAAAAATACCTTCCACCTTGCAATTTGAAATCATATTGCTGATGTTCAGTCTTTCTCATTTTCATTATTACTACATTATTTTGATCGCTTTGCAAGTCATTTTGTTATGTTTATCTCCTAGTATGAATATGGTATGGCAACTTAACTCAAAGCACATATGTGCCAGACTACGTCCATGATGACTGATACATCCCAACAAAGTTAAACTAAATATCTATCTTTGAAAAGATAACTACGAAATTACTAATGTGCTCACTAGTCCTACTGAAAGGTTAACAGAGAGGATGAGGCATATGTTAAAAATAAACGTCTTTGCTTTTACGAATAACGTATTTAACCAATATTTTACAAACGAACGCTTATTAATACCATAAGTATCATGTACGTTCTATCTAAAGTCGGTATTCATTGTATAAATCATGAACCGAATTCGATACATGGCCAGGACAAAGAACATTACGAAATATTGTTTCAAGTTAGGATATAAAAGAACATCAAAAGGAAAAAGATACTAAAAGTCAAGGTGAAAAACAAATGAATAACTGGGAAAAATCTTTTATCCTGATTTTACCATGACAAAACCCAGACAGGTCCCAAAAGACTGATTTATCATAATAGCTTATACTCGATTGTCAATATAACTAAGATTACCAACATGGATTTCAAAGTTTGTCCGTCAAAAACTCATCTTTAAACCACTAAGTCTAATGCAAAAAATGAGGCTTCATTTATTCAGGTATGAATTAACAAATGGTAAATTTTATGTCCTTACAACGTATGCTTTAAGATCTGGTGCAAGATTATTTATTATTATCATTTTAAAACATAGATATTGGTACAAGGAGGCACCAAATACATATGCGTCACACAGATTTCACTTGATTTGTGTGAGGGCTGTGATACTGTCCGGGTGCCCAAACCGAAGCAGGTGGTTTTCTTAGGAGGCCACATCCGGAGCCTTCAACGTGAACGTCTGATCCACAAGGCAGTGTGGCATCATAAGGAGGTGCAGTCCCATGGTAGCCGGTGACCAAAGACTGGTTCGTACGCCATTTGTTCCTTCAAGATACTGGAGCCCATATCAGTCAGTCAGTCAGTATCAACGTGGAACTTCGTACGTACGTACATCAGTTCGAGTTGCCAAACCACATTAGCACAGAGATTCAGTTATCGATTCAAATCCCGTAGTGGTAGAAGTAGTAATAGGGGATATTAGAGTTTGATGATGTTATTTAAGGAATATAATACAGTGAAATAAATTTGGAAAGAGACAAACAAGAAAGCGACATGAAGAATTCAGAAGATTAGAATTTGGGAGAACACAAAGAGTGGATGCACCTGCGCCATTACAAACGATTTTGGGCCATGTCATTCAAGATCTCTAACCGTCGATTATTATCGTCTCGCGGATCCCAACCAGATAGTCTACACCTACCAACATGATTCAGTCCATTTGTCAGTGACTTCATGGATTTGTACCATGCTTTGGTCTGGCCACCCCTAGCTTTCTTCCAACCTACTCCTACACTATAAAACATCGCACGTTGAGGCAGTCGGTGGTTGGGCATAAGTAACACATGTCCCAGTCATCTAAAATGATGAAGTTTCACTGTCATCAATTGATTTGCCATCCTTACCTAGTACCCGTTTCCTAACAACTGAGTTACTTACTCGGTGGTCCCAGGGTATACGAGCAATGTTTCGAAGACACCTATGATCAAATACTAGTAACCTACGAATATCCTCTACTCTTACTGGCCATGTTTCTCGGCCATAAAGTAGGACGGAACGAACTGCTGAGCAGTAAACCCGTCCTTTGGTTGATAGACGGATATCTCGCCTACGCCACAAATGACGCAAGTTGGCAAAAGCTAGTCCAGCCTTCTGTATCCGTGCTGAGATTTCGTCACACACCAGACCACAAAGGATGATGAGAATCCCAAGATAAGTGAAGCGGTCGACACGCTCAACTACTTCGCTCCCTATCACTAGTTTGGGTATCGATGCAACCCAACCCTAAAGCAACATTTCGCATTTCGAGGGAGAGAACCGCATGCCGAAAATGCCTGCATTGTTGCTTAGAGTGGTCAGCAGACTCGGAATTTTGTCAGCGTCTTCACCAAATCGAATTATGTCATCGGCGCCCATGTGCGCTATTGGTTTGGGACCCGGTTAGAGCGCCGGACATTTGCTTTTCGTCCTCTCATTTTCGTAAACAACACCCCCGCCACGAGAAGGCAGTGAGTAGGACTTCCCTGACAGAGAATATATACGCGTGGCCATGTGAGAGCATTTCGAGAGGGAGAGCGGACTTTCCCCACTCTCGGCTGTACCAGGGCATTTGGGGGCTCTGGTGCACGATAGGAGTAAAATAGCACAAGATGACGATATACAAATTAAGATGAAGAATCTGTTACTAAAATAATTTGATACACTACATTTTTAAAGTAATTATGAATGTAGTTAGACATTACTCCATAATCACTAATCATACAACTGAAAATGTTAATGGATAAAAATAACATTACCAGACATAGAATACAAATTTTAGGGCTAATATTAACTTACTTGGCTAGTCTCCGAAGAAAATCAAGTAATTCCCATCTTTTTGAGCTCCTTACTCTAGGATATACTACACTAAAGAGAGCGCATGCAGAGGTTCGGCTTGTGAACCAATCACCAGTAGCTAGACGATGTAACAATGGGTTGAAATATTTTTCCATTGCTTCTGTAGTATGTTCTGGTGCAAGCTTCCTGAGTGCCTCTACAGCCCTGTCACGTACAACCGTTTCTTCAACCTTTTTCAAAAATTAAACAAAATAAACGTGAAATTGCTTATCGATTCCGCTCAACTAAGCATTTTGATTTATTTCAGTTTAAAAACACAGCATTCATACAAACCAGTTATCATAGTGAATCGGTATTCGAACGGGTCATTTTTAAAACATGTGTCAGAAACCTATTAGATTTTCATGCAACTAGATTTCAGTTTCACTAGCTTATGAAGGCTAACGGAACTTCACAGTCTCCCAAACTGAAATGTCTGAAATGGAGTTCGAAACCACAACACAATGGCTAAACGTTAAGTACTTCAACTGCCAAGCCATTAGTAAAAGTAGAACCTAATCAACAAGAAAAATTATTTTTCCGGGAAACTACATTCATAAATATACAGTGGTGTCCACTTTTTAACCTAGTCATATAACATGGTGAGTTAGCAATTACACTAGAAGAGACCACATGATCACCCACGATCAAACTATCGGATAGTAAAAAGGAACTCCCCTGCCAGTCTGGCATGTAAAGCCTGGAGAAGACAACCAGTACAGAATTATCAGTCAGTTTTACCTTCTCAGTAACAATAGGTAGTGTTCGTAATTAGTACTCTACCCTCATGAAAACCAGTAAAAATCAGGTTCACAGAGATGAAGTTTTAAATTTTGATTTCTTCTTACTTTCTGAGGACGTTCTGCCAAGGAGAATGAATTACTCATTTTAATATCTATTGAAGATGTTAATGTGTGGAGGAAACCAAACGCAATGATCATCAGGCTGATTTAAACGTGTGGACTAATTGATAGTCATTAGAAATAACTATACTTGTTATAACATCAAGAAGACTGATACCATTACTTGACTGTCCAAATTTCTACACCAAAGGTTAGATTTCATAGATGGGGATTTCACATTAACTAACCACGGACGTGTTAATTTCTTTTTTCGTACTGAGAACCAGACTACTACATGTTTAACACTTAATACTGAAAGATGTCCATACTGTAATAAAGCCTTCCTACAAATTATGATTACAATAACTCTACTCCACGTCAAATAATGAGTGATAGGTGTAGTCAGACATAATCAGCGTAAACCTGACACACATGCGTTATCCCAGGTTGTCATACTGATTCAGTATGACAAGGTAAAATTGAAAAGATGAGTAGCAAGGAAGTCAAAACCATCGTCGTAGCAATGATTAGAATAAACCTTTAGAATACGACCCCAAAAGTTGGTGAAAAGGCATGTACGACGGTATACTCGAATTCAAAATTGGAAGATAGAGAGGAAACAAAGGTGCTGTAGTATACAACTATTCGGAAAAAACAATGGAAAACTTTTGAATGGATATCGGCCCTCGAACATTACAAGTAACTTACTGCTGCAAGACTCTCAAGTGGAGGAAGAAGTGAGTGGGCATACTCAGGACCGCCTACATATGGAACTAGAGTTCCGATTTGTTCTGCTAAAGTGAGCAGTACTTCATCTTCATCATATATTGTCTCTGTCAGAAACGGTATTAGTTGGGATCTGGTCTTTTCCGGGCCAAGAGCTAAGGCAATAGTTGAGATTTTGCGAATGCTATGAAGACGGACGTGTAAGTCTTCACCACGAAGTTCTTCGATAAGTACACCAATAGGATAATCCTCATCCCTCTCACTTTCCATCAGTATCTAAACAAACGAAATTAGAGAATACTGACCAGTTTTTGGACCATGTTAGATAACAACTTAAATAACAAAGTATACATATGTATCTACTTCTATAATTGTTTTTTTAATGGATAATGCTCTCAAGAACTTGGCACAACTATTACGATTCATCAAATTATATGCCTGTTATTTCTAACGGATATGATGTGTAGTGGGTTAAACAATCTCCTTTCACTTTAAGTTTCAACATTGTCTTAATCTGTAACTTGTGTTGTTGCTGGTTACTACTTACTGCATTGCTTACAAATTTTGTATGCGTTAGTTAGGTCCTCAACTCACCTTTTCTTGTTCTCTCTTTCATCCCTTTTCACGCTACTTTATGTGCTTTTCTAGTACACACAGTTGCCTCTAGTTGGACGCGAGCCGAAACAATAGGTTTTGTCGTTAATTCCAAGTAAATTCTGTGTGCTCAAAAATGCTGGGTTAGGTTTTCGTTTATTTTCCTTGAAAGCATCAAAAAATCACCTTGAAACCTTTAAAATAACTGTAAACTTTCACAAAGAGCACAAACGTGGCACCGGGCAATAGTTTTAAACACTTGATAACGACCGTTACAAATTAGTGTACATCCTAGTACTGGTTGAGAATATGGATATAAGATTAAAAACAGGAAAACTGGCTTGTATGCAAAGTGAAAAACATCTACATAATAGAAGCCTAGCAAAATGCAAAAAGGCTAAAGCTGACATTTCTGTCAGCTTGATATTCAGTATTTACGAGTTTCTACTAAAATGCCGTCATGCTCAAGGAAGATTCAGTGACGATTTACGTTTATTTAGGGTAAAAACCTTGTAGTCTACATTGATTCCAACAAAAAACACTACCTATGTATGTGTCCGTCAGTTCGTCTAACATAAAACCTGAAGAACGAAATTTGGCGCTATTTTGACGGATAAACTAAAACTCCTCAATGCAAAGACAATCTAAGGAAGTTTTATTTTCGTATAATCTTGAAAAATTAAAAGATAATAAAACCAAAATCAAATGTGCAGCCTTCTACAACCTATAACTAATATACATGTACATGTGAATTACAGTCGTTTTAGTGCCTTTTAAAAAATGTGGAAATATACTTAATGTTGTCAGGTCAAGTTAATGTATCGTGGGCCCTATTAACAGTTATTTTCACGTCCCTTTAGTCAATAGGTTGGTCATATTATAATGCAATTTTAATTTTTTTTAATTACATTGTGCTGTAAATTTTGCTATAGCAGTCATTTTTTTACCACGTGAAACTGCGTTATACCGGACATGCACTGCATGCTGGAATGATATCCTAAGTCATAAAAATCTTGATAAAAGTCGTGGTCGTTTCGAAGTAAACTGCTCGTGAATATCGTTACTGGAGAAAGTATTTTCATGCTGCAAACTATGTTTTGATGCTTAAATTACTGTTGTATTCGGTCTCTAAGCAATATCGTTTGTCCTCTACTTCTAACTTACTTACTCTTCCATCCAACTCTATCCTGTGCAATCCTTCCCAGCTCTTTCCAGCTGCCATTCATCCTTTTCATATCTGCTTCTATTTACCGACGCAGTATGTTATTTGGTCTTCCTCATTTCCGCTTCTCTACAGGATCCCAAGTTAGGGCTTGCCTTGTGATGCAGTTTGATAGTTTCTGCCATGTATGTTCTATTCACTTCCATCGTCTTTTCCTAATTTCCTCTTCAGGTGGAAGCTGGTTTGTTCCCTCGTGTTTGGCTGTTGTTAATTTCTGTCTTCTTGTTCTCGCTTTTGGGAATCTTTTCCAAGGTTTTTATAGAGATCCATCGCTTATTGTGATGCTTCTTGCTGTTCAGAAATTAAATTGACCACAATTAGGTGTTGATCTGTAGCTATGTCAGCTCCTCTCCTGGTTCTCACCTCTTCCATTGTCCTTCGGAAGTTTTTATTGACGCAAATATGATCTATTTGGTTTTCTGTGGCGTTGTCCGGCGAGATCCATGCGGCTTTGTGTATACTCTTGTGTGGGAATATTTTTCCGCCTATAACCAACTCGTTGAATGTACATAGATTTGCAAATCTTTCCACATTTTCTTTTCTCTCTTCTAGTCCATGTCATCCCGTAATACTTTTATATCTGGCGTTGTCTATATCGACTAAAACGTTTAGATCTCACATCCAATTGGTGTGGTTATTTCTTGGGCACCGCATAGCCCTCCATTTGAAGGTCTTTTCAAAGTTGCCTCAAGGAAATCTAAATATTTCATGGTAGAAAAACACGAAACCATCGACTCTGTTAGTATTCATAGGCTAAAAGCGGCTTATTTCGATCATGAACCACCGTATGTGCTGCTAGACCGTTTGCTTGACAAAACAATTACGGAATCGACAAGTAAAAACGATAAGTCTTGACAAGTGGCTAAAAGAGTTAAATGGGCACTGCCGATTAGTCAGTGAAGAATATTGACAGTTTTGGCTGCAGACTAAAATATAACCACGTATCTTATAAGGTCTTGCGTTTATTTAGCTTAAGTTTTTTTCGCACCGTCTCACCTATTTTACTTAATTAACAAAAACATTACCAAACAGTATAGTCTGTAATATTACGCTATTCACACTCCTTAGAATTTTGCTTTTGATACATTAGCGTTATATCCATTTTTAATACCCAATACATAGGCTTTTATCCGTAAACGCACGCTGAGTAATATAAGACGAATACATATAAAAAGGGTAAGTTACAAAAGAACGAAGAATCTTCGACTAAGGTGAGTGATGTGAGCAAGTTTTGCCTGCCAAATTAACCATTTTCTTAGATTTTGCTTCTAATAATAGACAATGAAAAAGGTGGATGGTAACATCGAATAAATTCTCTATGAACATGTACTATAAATCTAAGCAATAAACCCTCGAATAACGACAAGTTCCAAAAGCAACTCAGGCGAGTTTTATGTTTTTACCTTTTCTGAGTAATTTACTCTGATTCCAGTAATCCTTAGCTTATGTATATTTTTCTCCGTTAGACTGATTATATACATTTCATTCGAGCTACTCTCAAAATTGCTTTTTTTGTATAAGATAGGTTTGGTAGTTGTATACGACCAAAACTAATAATGAAAGCATTTTATTTTTAAACGAAACATTTTACATCAAACAATGGTTAAATACACGTTAGTGGTCCTCATTGGCATATTTTTTTACATGCTTATAAAGGTTATTCACTAAGGTAACGAGTATTACTGCTGCATGATTTACAATGTAATCACATAATTCAGTCTCATTGGCACCATTCAATTTTTCTTTCATTATATTTTCAGTTTATGGCATTTTCTATAGCTAATCCCAGAATCAAAGCTATTCATAAATGGTTTCTCGACATCATCATAAAGCTTTGTTACGATTTGACAAGCACCTAATATGGTCGGTCTAAGCGATGAAATTAAGAACTAAAACAGTCGACAACCTAACTAATAACTCTGCACAAATAGTGTTGTTTTCTCACAGTTACCTTTATGCAAACGCTGACTAAGAGTTCAGACCATTATCATAGAGATGGGTTGGAAGATATACTCCACTTGGCTAAAACCTCTGCTTTCATGGCTTGCACTCACTTATCAATGTACGAACACTTAATTAACTGAAGATATCATATAGTATAATACCTGTAGCATAACTAAATTAGCTAAATTAATTTCACACATTTTATAGGCGACCCGTCAGGTAATTAGAACATTCAGTTTATGAAATAAATCCCACAGCCAAACTGACGTTAAAAGAATTATTGTCTGCGGTCCACACGGAATTCTTACCACTTGTGTTATGTAAAAACGATATTTTTTCCTGTTTGTCATATAGCTGTGGCTTTTATATTTGATTATTATTAATATAGACAGAAAACACTAGTACTGTACATACTTTAAGCGGCTAACACGGTGTCCCAATGTGACCTAATAGTTCACTTAGGTATACTAATTTTCCTTTTGTTGTTGTTTTTCCTCATGTCTGAGCAAATGAGTTTTGCAAACAAAAACGCCAGCCTCGTACTCACACGAGTTTCTGCCCAATCTTCCAAGTTTGGAAAAATCTTGGAGAATTTTCCAAGGTCAAATGGCATTCACCAAAGTTTGAGAAAATATTAGGGAATTTCCCCACATGGTGGTGCCATTTCCCCGAAATCGGGAGATTCGGTGCCCTTCCTTATGACTAATAGAACTTACACACTTATAAGGTGCAGACCAACTCGTTACCTCGATGACTTGAGGAAATATGGCTTCAATATATTGTGCATACCTACATCAAGCCGTCAAATTTTGGCAGAGACATATGTGTTTGATTCGCGTACTCTTTATAATTTTCTTTTCCTCCTTAACCATATATTCTACTTTTCCGGGTTGGGGAGTATTCTTGTGCACTCGCAGTTACGAACTCTGTTATAAAAGGCGGTCATCATATACTCAAGGTCATATATTGGATCGAGTTTAGTGAGGAGTCCAACTTCTGACAAATCCACACATCTACATATGTGCATTTTAAGAATAATTGTTTTCGTTTGTTTTGTTTTTATACCTTTTCGTGCACAAGATATCTACACCATGTTTATTTTCTTCCAGATTACCAATCGATTCTGGAAGTCAAACACTTATGTTGAGCCGAACAACCATGATTTACGTTTGTGTCTTTCCTTTTTGTACCTTATTATCTTATGCAGGCATCGAAACAGTTCTTCAGGTTTGGTTGGTTTTCATCATTGCCTTTGTAGTAGATTCTGCCTTATATTTTACTTGAGGGCGACTCAAGAGGCAGGTGAGTAGACACCTGATAGCCGGACAGAGCATGAAAAAACCATACCTCACAAACATGGTGTTGGGTAACCCGCTCGCGGCACTTCCTAAGATAATCTTGTTTCATTTCCTCACTCTTTTTCCCTTGCAAGCTATGATCATCATACAGGAGCATGTAGCGAACCGTCAGCGATAGTTGTGGAAGAAACTAAATGCTACAAAATACGATGATAAGCTAGTAGACGAAGAGACATCCATGGACTGTCGTCGATTGCTGACGAAGTTAGTCGTCATTGATTGGAAGCCAAACAGTAAGTGAGTTGGTAATTCTGCCTTGGGCTGCGGAAACAGAACTTAAGTCTTTTTTGATAGATAGGGTAATCAAACCGACGTTCCTGCGGAAGTCGATTCTAGTAGGAAGCCAATGTAACAGCTTAAGTCAATTGATTAAGAGTTCTCCTCAAACAACTAAGTATACGTAAAAACTATACAGTTCAAATATTCACTCACTTCCTTATTTTGTATGGGCATTATACTTCCTATTATCATAAACTGATTGCTGAAAAGCTTTGTTTGTCTGAACAGGCAATTCCACACTCCACTGTGACTGCGCGATGATCTAAATAAAGACCTATTCACTACTAGTCTGGTTTCCTCTATCAATAACAGAGGGTAACCTAAAGCACGAAAAACTCACAATAATAGGCATATCACTATAATTCAAAAAGGCTTTTCCAACTATTAAGAGAGGCGAGCAGCTAAATCCCTCTGTCCTCAATTGGAGGGAAGGAGTGAATGTTCATTCAGCGTGAACTCTTTATCCAAGCATATGACCCTATTTATTTTCCACAAAATCTATACTCACATCCAATTTCTTCCCTACTGCTTCATATTACAAATCCATATATTTTACATGCCCACCTAATGTACGGGTTAACAGAGTGACAGGTCATAAAAATTCACTCTGATCATGAATAACGTGATATATTCAGACTTCAATTATGATGAAATATTTTGCATTGTTTCCTCTGTATCACATAAATTTTAACTAACTCAACCCGGTTGTTTATTTACTCTAAAGAAGTAGCTAACACTAGGTCACGAGACGTCATAACATAACATCAAATATATTTATCATGTAATTCTTTTATTTACCTGTT